GAAGCCTGACATCAAGCCACAGCCACCGGTCTAGAAAAAAACAAACAAACCACGCTTCAGAGTCGCCACATTTGGCGGAGGGAGGGATCCCTGGGCACTTGACGGACAGATCCTGAGACGGGAAGGGAAGCAACTGGCACCTTGTATTTTGAGACTGTAGACCTGCCGTTTAAAAAGAAAGGACTTTTTTTTTTTTGGTCCTAGGCCGAATTGAATTCGTAAACCAAAACCTCCTGGAGAAGGAAATACCAAATTACAGGCGCGCAGGTCTCTGCGCGCATCTAAGGAAGCGGGAAGGGAAAAGCGACTAAACCAGTGTTTCTCAACCTTGACAATTTTAAGGCATGTGGACTTCAACTCCCAGAATTCCACAGCCAGCGTTGCTGGCTGTGGAATTCTGGGAGTTGAAGTCCACATGCCTTAAAATTGTCAAGTTTGGGAAACACTGCAATAGGGCTCTAGGATGGCGCTGTTTTACAATCGGGGAATCGGAAAACCGTTGAAATACAGCCGGGCTTATTTGGGGAAGGTCCTTTGAATCAGCGCTCGAGGGTCTGCACTCCCCTTTCTCTCCGAGCTACTTACTAATCTCTACTTTCCTTTTTTCAAACAGAATTCAGTTACAAAGCATTTGCAAAGATGTCCACCCATTCAAGGGCGCCACATCTTTAATTTTCTGAGGAGTAAAAAAACTCCCCAAGAAACTTTATACGTCTTAGCCTCCGCCCCCCCTCCCCACCTCACGCTTTTTCTTAGCATACGTGATAAAACATTGATTGTTGTAGTTTGCTGACCCATGAAATTTGGGGGTTAGTTTTCTCTTCAGACCACAGCATATAATTATGCAAATAAAGAGCTGTCACTGATCTGGTGAAATGCTCACAAATACGTGCAATCCGAAACTGGAAAGAAAAGTGGGAAACGCGAGGGATGGCGAAGAATGGCGGCATTTGGAAAGTTGGGTGACTTGTCCCTCCCTCACTTTGAACAAATAAATCAACAATTAACGTGTGATCTGTCTGTAAGAGACATACAGAGAGATATTCCATATTAACAGTTTATTTAATTTCAGTTGTGATATAACCTGGAATGTAGGTACATGCATGGTAACGCCGGTTGTTTTATGCCAGCTTTCAATTATATGAGTGCTCAAAAGAGAAGAGCAGGAGAATACTGTTCTTCCAATAAAACTTCAAAATACTTAAATATCCTAAAGTAGTCAATTAGGAATCAGTTCCAACATATTTATGAGATGGTGGTAGGGGGCAATATAAACAAAAGAAAAAAAGAAAAAGAAAATTTGAGTTTTACACAACCAAAATTTTTTCTTTCCCAGAACAAATTGAGACTAGGTGGGTTTCTCCTAGGGTCTGTCCTGTTTGCCTGAAAAATGGGACTACTTAAGAAATAACTTTAATTAACAGCAAGACCATTTTACTCTCCTCTGTGCCCCACACACAAGTTGCTAACAAAAATAAGGGAATCAGGGAAAACAGACAATAGTGGATTAAGCTTTAGGATTACTCGGAACAATTACCTGACAAACAAAGGTTTATGTCTGTTAGAAACAAATAAAACATTCCTATACCTGTTCTGAGGGCTCAATAAAATGTAAATTAGAGCCCACTTGGTTGACTTCATACTCTTAAATGTTTGTCAGATGAAGTTTAAGATAACTGTAAAATCTACTTCCTAAAATGGTGGTAAATTGATGGTAGATCTCCATTTCCATCTCCTTGCTGTAAACCATTTTGGACAATGAAGAACTTGATATAAAAATAAATATAGGACAAATGGACGATCTAGTTAAAAATAACTCCCCTCTTGCCTCAGAAAGATCTATTGGTATTGGAAGCATGCTTTCTGTTCTTGATTACTGATTTCTACACCCGACTAAAAGAATACCAGAGAGTGGCAAAACTGCTTACTCTAACACCCACCCCATTTCCCCCCTTCTACAGGCATTTTCAGCAGCCTTGGGATTCTTGTACCCATTTTAGCTGAAAGTGCCAGATTTTTAGCAACTTCTGAAGACATTAGGATATAGGCAGGCCAGCAATGTGAAACTAAAACTACTGATCCAATTGACATAATTAATCCAACATTTTCCCACCAAGTGTGTTTTAAAGTTCTTTCTCTTCCATGCCCCTTCTCCCCAGACCTTTTGTACATCTTGCAGTCAAAGAAGATAAAATCTGGAACTCTTTGATGGGATTCTTATAGTCCTCAGTTACAGCTAAAGGATGGAGGGAGCATCCAAATCACTTTCCATACAGTTTGTAATAACTGCTAGAGCTAAAGTTGCATTTCTCCCATCCGCCTGCACTGATGGTGGGTTAGAAGGGATAGGGTTGCCAGATTACTTTCAGGAACACAAAAGCAGAAGACACCAAGGATGTTGCCAAGGAACTCTTCTGTTAGAAACAGAATCATGATTAGTTGAATTCGTGAAGAGGAATAAAGCAATCTGGATTGAACTGGAGGAAGGTACACTTATGTTCCCCTTTCAATCTGGGGGAAAGCCTGGAATTAGCATTGGCCATGGAGATGAAGGTTGGACCTAGCACAAATTTATTGATGTCTATCAGCAAAAGCCGTGGGGCTTCTAGAATCTCTGGGGAAGTAACCAAAAAGGCACACCTTTTTTTTTTTAATCACAGCTATCAGCTGCCGTTCTCTCTCTCTCTCTAGGGCTTGGCTAGGAAGTAGGTAGTCCTTTTTTTAAAGTCTTTTTCTAGGAGTGGATCGATAGATTTATAGGCTTTGGACAAATTTAACGGAGTTATGTGCAGGTTCAAATTCACTGTGGCAGCTTGAGGAAGGAGTCTGAGAGGAGCCAAGAAGCAGCCTCCCACGTTCCTGACCTCATGAAAGAATCGTTCTTTTCTCTGCTGAAAATGCTGGAAGCACTGCTTGATTATATAGAAGCAGAAGGGAGGGGCACCTAATAAGCCCCACTTTTCTCTACTGCTACTCTCCAGTTCCAGTGTTGTTTGAAGATATTTTTCAAATTGTACCAAGAAAGCAGGGTTCCTTCATTCTTTCCCTTCCTTTGCAATGAAATTGGATGGAAGCAAGAATGCTGCTAGGAATTTGTGGCTGCTGTACATGAACTTTAAAGAGGTAGAGACTGCTGCTGGACTGCAAGCTTATATACATTTGGGAGTACATCAAATGAAAATTATAACAGGTTCATTTCTGAGTAAACATGTATAGAATTGCATGACTGTGAGATTCATCCTGATCACCAAGAGGAAAGCATCATATTGACAGTAAGTCACCCTACAGTAATTCTTCCTCAATCTTCCGCCAGTTCCATACCCAGCCAAGCACCGTGATGAAAACACCTACTGCTTTCCATTCTTTGTTGAAAAATCAAAATTTACTGGGCAAAATGTTTAGAGGACTACATTGAGCATTTTGTGTTCATTTCTGCCACATAACCACTAAGAGTATGTAAGTCAGAGCTTGGATGAGTAGAGGCAAAGCTGTTGTTGGATTTGGGCATAGACACCATAACTTTGGTGTAATATGCCTTTGGTTAAAATCTGTTGTCCTGGAAGCCACAATTTTTTTATATTGCCCACTTTTCAATCAACTCTGGTTTCATAGAACTTTCTCATTTTTACCACTACAGAATAAAGATGTTCTATCTATTTTCTGGGTGCATAGCCAGATGTCCAGATTAAAGTGTAATCCACCAGTGCTTGAACCAACTATGCTACCTATATTGTGCTGTCCCATGAAAAATCCCTTGTCATAAGAAATGGAAAGTCTGCAAATCTCAGGGTGTTATTATTTCTGATTAATAACTCGACCCAAAACTGGAAAAATCTGTCTCTCCCGGTTAAAATCAATCTGCTGCGAGTGTAGTGCTACTATTGTGCTTTAAACACAGGTCTAGTGTTATTTCAAAAGGCTGCTATTCCTGCTTATATAAGGAATTAACTTGAAGACCTGATAAGCTTCTCAGAAAGTGATGGCCAGGCATTACGCAGGGTGATCACTCCGTGGAGCTTTTGGAGTGCTAAATTGTGTCCATGTCACAAATTGTGTGGAGAGAAGATAGAAAAACACTGCTTTGAAACTGGAACAGCAACAGGTAATATTAAGCTGCTTCAGCTGCAGGCTGGGAATCAGACTGAAGCAATATTATGATGCATGTAATATAAAAACAGTTATAAGGGCATGTATGTGCCGTGGTTAGGGGGACATGAAAATGAGCTCTGGGATTCCTGTTATATTCACCAAGCTTTGAGATATAAGCAGCAAGACAAAACAGTTTCTTTCTTTCTTTCTTTCTTTCTTTCTTTCTTTCTTTCTTTCTTTCTTTCTTTCTTTCTTTCTTTCTTTTTTCTACAAAAGCCTTGTGCCTGCTAGGTAAATCCATTAATTCACTATAAAATTACTATTTAATTTGTTAATGTAAGTGTATTCCTCCAATCCCTTTTGAAAAAAATAAGCCCTAGTCTGGTCTTTTTAGCAAGGACTTCGTTATTAAAAATGTCCGTCCATCCATCCATCCATCCATCATTCCTTTGTTGCCCATCTCATATAAATCCATCCATCCATCCATCCATCCATCCATCCATCCATCCATCATTCCTTTGTTGCCCATCTCATATAAATGGATCTGAATGGCTAATACAGAATTTTAAAACTTGCAGTACAATATAAAATAATAATATACATGTGATTGGACAGTAAGATTTCTGAATCAGATTTTCTTCAGGTGGAGAAGTTTTCTTATTACTGCTTTCTCATATGACATTATGACTATATAAAGCATATCCTTACTATAGTACTACTACGCCAACACAAAGATGATTGGATTATTTTCTACAATTGCTTTTGATCAAATGGCTCAAGTGATCCTTAGAAAAAGTGGCTATTTGCTATATCCTGCCTTCTAATTGATCCCAGATAGTTAACAAACAATCTTGATTATTGCATTTCTCCAGATTATTCAGTAAGGCTTAATACAAGTAAAACACACCTGGAATTTTAGAAGAGAAACCATCTTTATTTTTATTATTGTTCCTAGGTTCAGTGTAGATAGAAAGAGACAATCTTTAATAATTCCCTGTGCTTACAGTTTGGTCCACAAAGAGCAAGAGTGCTAACTGGGCAACAATATATTGCCCCATTATTTAGGGCTTGTGGGTCTGCACTGTAGAGTAGAAATTGATGATTAACATTTAAAAAAAATTAAAAACAGGTGGGGAGAGATTGCTTGATCCGATTTGGCACTTTGACAGCCTCAAAAGACTTCCCGACTTAGAGATTGCAGGTTATGGTGGTTTATTTTCCTATGACTACGGTCAACCCCCCCCAACATTATAATTCATAAGGAATAAAAAACAGCAAACAAATGAACAAACAAGAGAAGAAATATCCAGGATTTAACCAGGATTTACATAAATATGGAGACAACAACAACAAAAGATTTCTAGCCACCTTTGCTGCAACAAGGAAAAATAAAAGCTGAAATGACCAGGCAAAGAAGAAAGGAGAGCTAAATTAAACAAACCAACCATAAGCAACCCACTGGATTGTATGTTGGTACAATTGAGGAACAGTCAACCATCTGCTGCAAAAAAAATCCCAGTTCCACATTTTTATGGGCTTCCAGGTCTCAAAGGATATCCACTGGTATGTGAGGGAATCTAAAAAAATGCAGGGGAGAAAGCAACAGTATATAGGTGTGTGTAAATGCACAAAGGCATCTACACACACACACACACACACATGGAGACCCTAGTTAATCGAAGCAGATAGCCTTGGGAGCCACTTGGTCCTGGCCTTTGCCTGGGGCATCACTTTGGTAGATTTCCAGCAAAGGGAACAATCAAGTGATCTAGTTTTTGCCCTGAGTGGGAGGCATATACCAGAGAATACATTTTCAGATAAGTAAGACAGCAATTTAATCATGAGCACACATATGGGGGAAAAAGCTGTTCCGGATTCTTCTTGGAGTCTTCTGAAATTATAAAGCTTCACTATAAATGTGTTTTTGTGGGAAGAAGAGTGGTTCCAATTTCAAAACTGTCAAATAAATACAATGAAGGAAAGACAATCAATATTCTGTTTTAGTGTCATCAGAAGTGAAGCTATATGAGAGAATAAAATGAACGCATTGTCTGCTGTTCAACTGCTAAATGCTTGCCACCCATACCACAGCCCATGACAATTAGTTCTTCCAAAGAGGCAAAAGTCACAGTTCTCACACCCCGCTCATTCAAGACACCCAGAGCAATTTGGTCATTTGGCATTGTCCACCTTCTGACAGTTCTGGATCAACTGCTAAGTGTGCAGAATTCTTGCATCGGGCTGCAGCTGTTGGCAGAAAATTCCTGGAAGAGCAAAAATGGCTGGCTTCTCAATTTTGATATAGGCCACACCTGTGGAGGTTTAGAGCAGGCAGTGTCATAGCCCAAGGAGGAGGCAGAACTCATTTCACATAATTGGAAAGATCTGTTGACGAAATGTGGATTCATGCCTGCATGGGCTACTTTTTAAGCCCAAGTCACTAAAATGGATTAGGACTGTTTTGGTAATAGTGCTACTTATGGTAGCATCAGTAGAGCTAGTCCTCGGTTAGCAACAGTAATTGGGACTGGAGCGGTCATCAATAAGCATTGCAGTCATAAAGCACAAGGTCATGAGACTGTGCTGCTTAGTGGTGGCGGGTCTGGCAGTCTCCAGTTACTGTTAAGTGAGGACTGTGCAGGTTGTTAAGTGAGGACCTCATGTGATTGTAACGTCTGACTTCCTGCCCGTTTTCCCAATGACTTTGCCTGTGGGAAGCCGGCAGGGAAGGTCACAGAGGTGATCATTTGACTATGGGGGTGCTGCTCCATCAGTCTGGTTGTAAGTATCATTTGCTCAGTGCTCTCATAAGTTCAAATGATAACAAGTAGTCATTAAATGAGGACCACCACCAACACTTTTTTTGTCCATCAATATTTCACAGTGATAACCAGATGATTAAGGAAAAATGAATCTCCACTTGAGGAGTTCAACCATGTGAGGGGACCCTGATGGATGATGTCCTTCAGCAATAAGGGAGGACCTCTTCTTTCCAAAGCTGACCCTGTTTTGTCAAACTGAATGTTTTGTTGCTTCTCCCTTTGCCTTGCACTCAAAAAAGGCTAGATTTGTGGAATTCTGGTACCATCCAGCATTTTAAAAAAGTTATTAGCTATTTGATCTGTCATAAAATAGATAATCTATTTGAATAAAAAATAAAGATGCCAACCAGGCATCAGAAGAAACATTTTAAAATACTACTGCTGCTATTTCTATTTTTTAAAAGGATTCAGCAATTTTCCCTGAAAACCCTAAAGTATTCCAAAACAATAAGCATTTGGAAAGTGCATTCCTGAAGCACTAAAACTGGGTGTGTTTGAGTTTGGTCCCCAAACTGAGATTTACAGCAGTCCTACTCTGAAGAGTTCAAATCTTCTCAATATATATATAAAAAAAATAGGTATCGATTAAATTTATTTTCAGTTCAGTGCAGAGGCTTTCTTTAGCATTGAAAGAAATGAGCTACCCATAAAAGAAAAAAATGTTGTGACTATGTGAGATTCTAAGCATTTATACTCCAATCACAGAGAAAAGCATCACTGGAGATCACTAGCACAGGGCACTGCAGTTTATCTCCTCATGTGGATTTAAAAAAATAAAATAAAACGCGGGACCTTTAAAAACAAAAACCTCAAAATAACGTTACAGGGAATTACTTTAAAATGTCCAGCACATAGGCATAAACTCTGGAATGGAAATAAATTCTTTGTTCAAAACGTGTTATCTAAAACGAAGGCCGACGGCCGAGCGGCTGGAGGGAAAAAGAGAGGGGCGGGGGGGGGAGCAGCAAGCGGCCCCTGGAAAAGGCGGGCGTTAAGACCAGGGAAGAGCCGCAGCGGCGGCGGCGGCAGCAGCCCGCCATCAACTCAGGGCAGGGCTGCGTCCAGGGCAATTAGAGCTGCGCCAGACTGCGCCGTGCAGCGCTGCTGTCAGCCTTAATCTGCGCACTGATGGGCAGCCCGAAATCCAAGCCGCAGCCCACAGGAAGCATAAGCAGTGAACCCATATTGCTTTGACAGTTGCACTCATCTAGAAATAATGCAAAACACTACTTAGATGTATAGACGGCGACCCTGTGCTCTAGGAAGAAAACAATCTAATGAGGGGCTGGGAACGCAGCGCGCCGCCTGCTCAGAGACAAGCGGGAGCCGCTTCCGCCCGCCTGCTCGCCGCTTTACAGCTCCTCGTAGCGGATCCGCTGCGACCGTCGCGTGGGAGCCGCTTTCCCCGAGCTAGTTTTCGCCTCCATCGCCTCGTGGAAGAACCGAAAGATCGACGAGAAGCTCTTCCAGGAGGTCAGCTCGTGCCGCTCCGTCCCTGTAATACAGAAAGGGCACCGCGTCACTACCTGCTGGAAATCCGGGAGATCGGCGTTGGTGTGCGTGTGTGTGCGCGTGTGGGGGGGGGAGGACATCCTCCGCCCTCAGCAGCAAGCTGGAAGGGTCAAGCTGGGAAGCGGGAGCTATACGCAGGCGCCGGTACGCACAACCAAGCCCCAAAGAACACCCGCCCGCGTACACACGTGCAGAAGACACGCGCTCTTTGCAAGCCAAGTGCCTTCTTCGCGCCGTCATAGTCATAGTCTTCCCTGGGCCAATTGGATGAATTATGAGCAGAGAGGGCAGTAAAGAGGATGGAAAAGATTTGTTAATCCCCCAAATTCATACAAAGCAAATGAGTTCAGTTCAAACCAGCTTCCAAAGCTGTGTCCTCTCACTCCTCGGTTGTGCCAATGCAGAGCTAGGAGGCAAAAATTCAGCACACAAGTTATGGACAGAAATTTTCCTCCTTGGTGATACATACATTGGCTGGCTGCTTGTTACTCTGCGAAGCACCCAAATCCTTCCCAATAGCTTTATTGTTATTTTTATGTGTTTTGAATGGAAGGGGTTTTCTAATGTGCCTCTTGCTTGCCCTTATAGTATAATATTCATGCACTGTCATCCTCTCCTCGACAACACTAAAAAAGTAGGGCAAGAAGCGTACTTTGAAATAATGAAATAGTGAGATTGGGTAGTTCAGCATCTAATCATAATCCCTCTTGCAAAACACTCCAGTCACTAGGTGCCCTGCAAGAGTTGAGGGTCCTTCCTGGATAACGCAATTATGCAGAGATGCTGCTGGGAAGTCTCAGGATCCCAGGCTTCTGTATGATACTTTAACATTGTTAATGATAATTTTCCACTCTGTAATAGTAGGTCATTGCTATGGTTACTCTACAATGGTGCAACACTTTGCTTTCCCTTCAGCTATTCGCTGAGACCTGGTAACCACATTTGTTGCCTAGCAACAGTTTTGTGAGAGTATCACAATCTGGGAGTTACAACAATAAAGGACATGATCACCCTGGCCTACCCTGAAGGAGAGCTGAGGGGGGGAAGAGGCTTGGGGTCCCTGGAATATAAAAATAGATCTTGAGTCCCTACCTGGATCGCACTACTGGTGTGATACTTGCATATAATTATAAAGGCAAACCCTCTCTAGAGGCATCGTTACAAAGATTCTTCCATCATGCAAGTACTCCCCACCAACCCCAGCAAAGGTCTGCTTTTCCACTACATACTTTTAACACTTAAGGCAGGTCACTTCAAAGGGAGGATAATTCCTCCACAGATATTTTTTATAAAAGGCACAATTGCAAACAGGGTTTTTTTAGACAAAGAACTGGAGTTGTGTAAAAAAATATCCTGGAGATCTTATTTAAGAACCCAGACAATTATTTGTCACACAAATAAAATATAGATAATGCTTGTGTAAAGATAATGTCACTTGTCCATCTGCCACAATTATATCTTGTGATTTCATTAAATAGACACTGTCAGTATAAAGATAAGTAACCATTTTGACTCCTTTTAAGCAGGTTGTCCTATCTACATTCTTCTCCCCCCCCCTTCATGCTCCACTTCTGATTGTTTAAACAGAACGCATAGTCAATCAATGCTTCCAATCAGAGATCTGTTCCATTATATATGTTAGCATTGAAGGGAGTTCTTGATTATGGAAAACATTTTCAACACTTTTTCCATCCTTCAGTAATACACACCCTTCCTGTTGCTATAGCTCTCTTAATTTTTCTCTCTTATCTTTCTGTACATTCATTTGTAAATGCAAGCTTATATTTACATGAAATTACTTGCAGGTGTATTCGGATATTATATTTATTGCATCCATCCTCCTTTGAAAATAACTATTTTTCAAAGGCATGTGACAGGAAAATAATCAGAAAAAAATCTTTATACTATTAGTGGGTCCATTCCTTTCTCTTTTAATATATAAGCATCTCTTTTTCTCAGAAAATATCATACTTATGCTTGCTAGTGTGACTGAAACTGTGATCAACCTATTAAGATTTTTACTAGGAACTTCTTATGCTATCTCTCCAAAACCAATTCAGGCTTTTGAATCTAGAGGGAACTGATGATTCAATAGGCTAAAGCAATTTTAACTCTCTTCTCATTGTCTCTTATCTTGTAACAATCTTACCGATAGATGAACAATTTCCCTTGTGGAAAAATATCTACAGTGGTTTTGTTAGTTTCTATAATTATAATGCTCTGTTGCTTGACTAGGATTGCTGTAAAATCTTAGTCATTTCATTTTGTCAAGCGTAATTGCTTTGCATTATTTTGGAATGGTATTTTGCTCAAAGATGTACATGGAAAACTCTCAGAAAGTAAGGGAATCATACATTCATAAGACTACATTCAAAGCTTATGGTATTTGTTTATTAATTTAATTATTGGCTTCATAAGGCTGCCTGATTCATACATTATTATTCTGGGAAATAATATTTGGAATAATAATTTATTCAAAATTATTCTTGTATTCAGCATAACAATTAATCCAACATAATAACTCCAACAGCATCTACAGTATACACAGCTAAGGCTAGGAATAATCAAACTCTGTTCCTAATATAGTGGGCTAAAATGTCATTCTGTCTGAAAGCTTCGGAAAAGAGCCAAATCTTCACAACTCTGTGAAACTCAATATCTATATAATATATTATTATTATGATTTTTTAAAATTATGCAATAAGAATTCAAATGAACCAAACTGCAGGCAAAAATCTAACTCTAAGAAGCAGTAGGATTCCATAATGTTATTACAATGAAATTAAACAACTGTTATAATAAATATTAAAAGATGGAACATTATGCTAGTGTATCAAACTAAATATTTGTCCAGAAAACATAAATCCATAAAGTAACTTTGTGATTTGATGTAAGAATCCTGCTTTGCTATTGCTGTTTGATGATACCAGACTTTGTATGGACCATACAAAAAATCTTTCCCGGAGGAAAGAAGGTGGAAGTGGGACATAGAGTACAATGTTCTGCCGTGTTTTTTCTCTCTCGCTCGCTCTCTTATCTGAAAAAAAAAGATGCATGAAAGGAAATATGAATTTCTTCCTTCTGAAGTTTCAGGATCCAAACTGAACTGTACAGTTTTGGCGATACATTTGGAAGCCCTTTACTACTGAAGTGTTATTCATCATTGTGCTATTTAACTACTTTGACAAATATTATTGTGTACCGAAATGGCTTAAAATGTATTCTTCAGAAAAAGCATTAATATGAGCTGTTAATTAAAAACAGTTATTTAGAGAAAAAGGTAATATGAACTATTACTATCAAATGGACAATATTTCAGTGCACACTGAGCAGTGCAAAGGATAGTGGTGCAAAACAAATACAGGAAATCAACCGTAGTTGATTCAAATGTTCTGTGAAATATTTTGCAATGAGGGGTATCTTAAACGAATGTACAGAAAAATGCCAAAGCAACCTGCAACACTGTTGACACAGGCTGTAAATGCAAAAGCTGATACTGATTTATAAAGCAGTACTTGCAAGCAAAATACAATGGTAAAAATAGTTAAAATCTGTAGAAGAAAAAATATATGAAAAGAAAATGGCTTCTTATTAATTAAACTAATTCAAGAGAGATGTTTTAGTATTAAGCAAAGAGGTGATCTCGGAAAAAGGATATGACTCCCGCTTCTCCTGAGGAAAATTCCACTGGATTTTATTCTAAACCGGTTCAAAGTGGATTTCACTCAAATTAAACCAATTAATTTTTTTTATCAAAAAGGAGTAAATGACAACTGGATCTAGTATAGTTTAATGTAAAGAAAAGTGATACTGACAAATAGATTTTATCCTTTTATGTATGTAGCTGTAGAAACAAAGTCTTATATGAAACTGACAAATAGTTATTGTATTAAGGCAAAATTGTATATAGTTTTTATATTTAATATTGTATAAATTCTGTATATTTTAAAGATTATTCTTTAATAAACTTAAAAGATAATTTATTCTAAAAAAATCTTCCTTTCTCTCTCCAATATTGTTTTCAGTATTTCTTTTAGAGCTAAAATCTTTTTTAGTAGGAGTAAGAGTAAGACCCCTATAATTTACTCTTGCAGTAACACTGCAAAAAATATTCTTTCTAAAGAATCTTATCTACTTTGCCTAAGATATCTTTTCATAAATTATCTTTTATTGATCTTATTGTAATTTTTTGTTTGATTATTGTGAGCTACCCGAAGTTGTTAGGGGGCAGGCAGCATACCAGTATAACAAATAATAACCAATGAACTCTTGTTTCAGATTACAAAATGCATAAAATCTCACTTTTCTATAGAAATTCAAATATACAGAAATATTTTTAGGCTGATACATATCGGTTTTGCTATAGTAAGCATTATCAATAGAGAATAGGAATCTACAGATAGACTTCCGGTCTTGCACGGTAGCGACTGGTTGTGGGTTTGTGGACTGCTGCACCCCATGGCCAACTTTCGTCCTGCCTGGAGACCCTAATGGATCAAAGCCGTCCTGGGGAGGTGGCAAAGAAAGAAGGGTGCCCCAGCGACTCTGGAATGACAGCAGTTGTTCTGTTCATCTTGGATAAAGCCTTCTAACCCAAAAGGAGTATTTCATCGATCAGCCCAAGCTACTTGCAACCGGAGTCCAAAAGAACTAACCAGCACTACAGTAAACAGTGTGTTTGAAACTCGGTGAGGAATCTGATTTTCCCTTTTCTATTCTACACTTAATTTCCTGGAAAATCCCCAAGAAACAAAATATCTCCGAAAGTGAGGGGGACTTCTGCCCCATTCTTATATTAACGGAAGCGGCGAATTAAAATTTCTATGGAGGATCAAAATATATGGTAGTGAAATAAATTTATAAACTTGAAAGCTAAAATTTAACTTTGGACAAGTTTAAGATTGTTGAATGGTTAAGACTCTCATTTTAAAGACCATTGTTCAAATTGAAAACTAAATAGATGCTGACACCTAATGGTGGATG